ATTCCATCGTAGTCTCCTTCACGTTTTACTCTGGAATCGGACATTCCGTTCTGAGGAAACATTGACTTCAGTTTTCGATTTTCAGGTCAACTGAGTAGCTGTAATTAAGTTTGACTCCCCTGCCGGTATTTCTTTGAAACTCCTTCGACTTAAAATTAATGCTGAAGTTTGAAAGCCATGTATATCGAAAATGCTTTCTCCAGCCACAATGCTTTCAAAAACTGCTACCTTTGTTACTAGAACTAAGTTATTTTTCGGTGTGTCAGGAAAAGCTTCAAAGCATGCTTTACCAGTACAAATATTCTGTAAAACCTTTATTTCTGTAAAATTGATTGCTATTTCTCTGTGATTTGCACGCAGGTTTTTGTCAGACAAGTAAAATAATGCGTCTTCCTCACTCAGCAACTTATTGTAAGCAAATGTGCTGTTGGAAATATTCAACGGTTAACTGTAGAATTGCCATATAGATTGATACCACTAGCAATGTTGTTCTGAAAGGTGCATCCATCGAGTTAAACATTTTTTCTCACAAAATGACCGGCGTATCTTAACGTAAGCCAGCAACAGAACTGTTTATAAACCTGCAGTCGGTCAGCTTTAAAGAGCAGTTAGAGAGATGAAGTGAACTGTTTATGAATGTTATTCGATCTAAAGAGACTCAAGCAAAAGTTGTCTTTCTCGAATTATACAAAAATCGAAGGCCCTCAGTCTTACAAGAAATAAATGCTCGAGTATTGTAACTATGTATTGCTAGTCCAAGTAAGTGCAATCCTCTCCCTTTCTCGCGCGGATAAGAGTCACGGGACGTACCTGTACCGTCTATACTGATTTATTACATCATCATCAGACGTACGGGCAGTAACATGTTGAATGGTTTTACACGGCACGGACGCTTTGAGCCCGCAGTCATTAGTAAAGGTCCCATCACGTCTTGAGACAAACCACTGCTTTGCATGGACTCCCTCTAATAATCAAAATTTAACTTGTAAATAAATAACCACAAATAGATGTGTAAATAAATGAATAAATAATAAGTCATGGGAAAATTTGGGGTTTTGAGCGATCAACAAGTCAGAGGAGCTGTGAGCCATTGAACTCGGAAAATGAATAATTTAGAAGAGACCTCATATTGTTGATTTATAGTTTTTTCGTTCAGGAAAGTCAGATTTTACCCATATCTTCTACTTCTGGAATGCACCTTCTCAAAACCTTCTACACTCAGCAAACTTTTCAAAGCACTTGTTCTTTTCATTTCGTGGAGAGCGTAACCATTTATTGTGAGTAAGTGAGTAACCGAAGCACGGCGTTTTTTCTTTCCTTTTCCCTAGTGTTTTTCGACGATCTAATGCTTAAATTCAGAGTCAACAAGTTTTATAGAGAATTCCTAAAAATGCTGAAACGTAAGACGGCTTATCGGCCTCAAACAGTTGTATATTTATTTGAACGCCTCAAATGCGCAATATATGCGCGCAAGCATTTTGCACACATTCTTAATTTTTAGCTCAGTTTTTCATCCATGCAGTAAACTTTGCTGCTCTCAGATTACACCAGTCTGTTGAAAATGGAAACATATAAAAGACTTTTGCGCTGGTCAGCGGACTTATCGAAAGATAGAATCCGGACAACTTGAAATTGGGAAGGGCTTTCAGCCATCTTTTTAAATTAAAAACCAAACTATCAATAATAGAAAGTACGTATTTGATTTTTTTAGTTAAAGTTAGACCAAGAATGAATGATCTGAAGACAAAAATAAATTGAACGGGTCGCCTTACGAACATGAAGGAAAATTTCAACGAATTTGTTGCTAATGAAACAATGAACTTTACAAAGCCAGGAATATTACACAGTCCATATCGATTGCTCAGAAAGCGCTGAGCTGACTATGTAAGCTTTGGATGTTTTTACTAAATGATAACAATATTGGCCATGTTTATGATTTTCATGATATAAACGATACAAGGGTCGTGGTGAGGGATAAAACATGTCCTACCTGCATGATCGTGATCGTATGGAAACCCCCGTTGTCCAGTGACCCGCGACAAATTTCACGGGGAAAATCCCTTTGACTCTGGACACTTTTGTTCGTTTTTTATCGGAGACAGGGAACATATTCGGTGACCCACGTCAACTTCGTCACGCAGTTTTCCGTCAGTTATGTGCAGCCATGTAATTTCTCCATCGCACATAATTCTCGGACAAAGAGTCACGATGCTGCACTTCTAAACAAAATTCGTTTGCTGAAGTTAATGCGAACACTCTCAGCGGAATTTTTTCACTACCTTATGACATGAAATTTTGCTGTGGCTTAATAATCTAGCAGGTTTTTGCTCCTTTTCGAGCCATTTTGGAATAAAATGCACCCTTGTAGACCTTACAAACGAACTGAGTACATGTGCGGAAAAGTACTTAGCTAGAAGTCAGAAGGCTTAAAAGTCTTAAAATCGACGATGATAACAGTCTTCACGATCGATATTAAAATATTTTGTCGGACCGTAAGCTAAAATCATTAAGGTGGTTTTACCTTCTTTTTCCTTTTTGCGAAGAGCAAACGTGCAAGAGAATACTAAAAGTCTTATAATCGACAACAGACAACAGTCCAACGATAGATATGGAAACACCTTGTTGCCCCGCGTAAGCAATTTTAATTCTTGTGTTAAAACTGATCTTCGCGAGCTGTTTCACTCCTGGGCAGTGGATCTCATTAGTCCAGGGCCCAGTTGTTCGAAGGCCGACTAGCGCAAACCCAGGGTTAAATTTTGATCCAGATTTCTTATTTCTCTATTCAAGCCTCTTTTAAGGATGATTTTCCCTATTCTTTTAAGACTATCCAATCATCAAATTGTAGACAAAAACAATTGTACTGAATTTTTATTTAAAGCTTTCAGATGTGAAGTTAAATATCGCACTAACCCTGGGTTAGCTTTGAACGCCCCTGCCCGAATTTTAACGCGCAGTTGAATCGCATCAGATTGAATCTTCTACATTAACTTTGTTATCATTCTCCGATATTTTTGGCGTTGTTTGGTCTTCAATTTATCTGGCTAATAAATAAGCGTTGTCACAAAGAAAGAGATTTTCTGCACTTCTCATGACCTGACATTTCGTTATTCCTTACATAACATTAGTCTTTCAATGCCAGGTGGCTAAGCATTATGTCCAAGGAAACTTTCAAGGAGTCATCGATCCTACTACAACATCGATTATATTGAAGAACTTTACGGAGCTATGCATCCATCTTTAGCTCCTCACCTGCACAACGATTGTCTACAAATTATAGAAGAGCTACATCGTTGTCACGAAGAGGTGCGTCCTCCTTTCTCAAGTCTGAACTCGAAATGAATTACGTAACAAGCATAAATATTGTTGATATTTTTCTGTGTTAAGTTACAAATTTTACAAATTGAATCTACATCTATCCACTTATCTCTCTTTTTCAGCATCCCTTTCGAAAGTTCGTTGGAGAGTGTAATGACATTAAACGGGCTCTTGATACCTGTTTGAAAAAAGAGGTGAGGTTACACTGATAATTTAGTAGAGACGCAATATATTTCCAATTTGTGAAATGTTTTCTGTTTCTATTTTATACGTTCTTTTAGATTTTTGCATGTTCACTTTGTTACCTTGTTCAAAAAAATATGTGATAGATTTTCCACCCAAGAATAAATTGAACCTCATTAATTATTGTTTTTGTGTACAACAGACTATGAGGTTAGTTTAGTCTGTGCAGTAGTTACCCTGGCTAAACCACAGAATACAGGGCCACTTTAAACCATCTACCAAAGGAGTTAACTCAATTGGCTCGTTTTCTCCTCTCATCTACTGCCCAGCCAAATGAGCTAAATAAGCCTCTATATTTGTAGACCTAAGACTTAACATGCGCACTGATTATTCCTCATGCTTTTATTCACTGCCGAGCCAATCAAACCCTTTGAGCCTTTGAATGTATAGCCCTAACAAGCTGTTAGATAATAAACCTAAGACTAAACACCCATATAGATTGTTCCTCCTTTTTTTAATCTACTGCTGAGCTAAACAAGTTAATTGAGCCAAATGAGTCAAACAAGCCACTAGATCTATGGTCTTCAAGTGGCCTTGTATTGTGTAGTTACTCATTTACCTTAATATGTTTGTGAGTACACCTTACACGCCACTGGAATTTTTGCTGACCAAGAAATAATATTCCTCACAGGATCTGAAAAGACGGAGAAAAAACTTGGAAGAATCAAGAAGAAGACAAAAGTCCATGCAAGAATTTTATGCAGAAGAAAAATGATTCATTATTAAAAAGAGTAAACAGGGCTGGAGGAATGAACTGGTTTGAAGGAATGAAATGGTTGGCATGGGAAAAGTAACTCTGACATGGGTCAAATGCTGCCTGTTGTGCACAAGCCAACAGAACTGTCATGGAAAGATATTGTTGAAGTGATGTGCATGCCACAAGTAAGGACAATTGGACACTAACACAATTTTTAAGGGTGTTTCTTTCAATTTCATATGACTTTAAGGATTGTACTTTTCCTTCCATCTCATGATAGCAGTGACCCACAAGAAGAATGTCAAATGAATGCTTGAAATATTAAAAACAACATTGTTCACATAAGCAGTTCATGCAAGTAAAAGGATACATGAATTCAGAGTCTTACAGAGGATTCTAGATAAACCATTTACTTCCTTACACCAGAGTGCATATTCTCCATACTGTTTTCTATACATTTCCTAAGGTGCTGACAAGGAGAATTTGTTTAAAAATCAAGAGCTTCTTTAGTTGTTTATCATTCCCTTTCGATGTTAGGCACTCTGAAGGGTTGAAGGGTGAAAAGTATCAATTGAAATTTTGAATTTGCTTTCCAGCATTGTAGCAGGCTAAGGCTTTCTTTACATGAACTTGAGTGTGACTTTTCAGCAGAATTTGGTGCAAATGTTTTGGTCTGCCATGTATTTTAGGAATCAAGGAGAGCCAAAAAATCCTGCCATGTGTTAAAATACAAACATACAGCAGATCTTGACCAGTATTTTTCAAGTTGGCCTCACAGAGGGGGTTTAGGATACAGAGAAGTCCCCTATCTCAATGAAGCACTCTCAGTCTCCTGGAAGGACATGCCAGTACTACTGAGGTCCAAAAGTAGGCAAGGATTTAGGAAAGCATATATAACACCCTCTCTCCCTTGGGATTGCAGTGAGAGCTCTTGCTAGGGGCACATAAAATACAGAGACATCCTCCAGTATTTCAAGCCCCAGTTAGTTTCCTGTTACCCTTCTGAGGTCCAAAATTAGGTGGCAAGGATTAGGGAAGCTTTCATCAAGCCCTAACCCAGACTGTGTAGAAAACCTGATTTTATTGTGGTGTCAGCATCTCAACAAAATCACGAGCACTGTGCAAAATTCTTAAATCTGATTGGCTGAGAAAAGAACATTGTCACCTCAGATTGTACAATGTTTTATGACTGTAGCTACAGCTAATCTATTGGTACGGGGAGAAGAGCAAAAAAAGATAGGCTAAATGGTGTTCCAAAGGGGACTACCAGCCAATTATTTCTGAGAGTGTGGAGTTTTTTATAGGCTTGGGGTTACATTTAAGGCTTTCAGCACCCTTTCTTAAGATGGCTGAAACCGCTGTCCTTTCCTGAGTATCAGCGGGCATGTGTTCTTGTGGTGAGAAGGAAAAGTAGTATCTGATGCTTCAATTGATGCTGAATTACATGGTTTGTATATTGTTTACTTGAAAATAATAAAAAAATCCTGACAAAGAAAGGGGGATGGTCATCTAGCTACGCCCTTGTGAATAATGTATCCTCGATGAGATGCTTATGAAATAGTGTTCGTCTAGACTGTTCTAGGCTCTCAGTCAGAAGAGAAATGCGGAAAAGCGCGCGAAATATGAATTTCGTAAAGTAAGTGGGAACGCAACCTGCGCGTACGCTTGATTGATTGATTAACTGATGATGATCCATACTATCGCAGCTAAGGCTGAATTACAGTATGAGTCAGTATTACATAGGCACAACTTTAAGCATACATCTTATTGATATCGAACTGTAACAAAATTATTAAGTCTGTCTGTGGCCCCTCTAAACCGATTTACTCGAGCATTGCTGGCTCGCAAAAAATAACCATAATGCACCTCTGTGGCGCGAGGAAGGATGTAACTTTTTGGTTCAGTCCTCCTCGCCCCAGTCCCGAACCTGGAACACAGTTGAGCTCTGCGAACCACGAGGGGTTGCAGCCAGGCCTCACTTAAGGCCAGATCCATAGTCAAGACGGGGGAAGATTATCCTAAGTGCTTTCTGTTGTACTGACTCGACGAGCTCATTAAGGTACTCAGGAAGATATGCCCAGACAGGGGCCGCGTACCCCAAGCCCGACCGTATTAGGGAGCAATAAATAAGCACTAAATCGGTCTAGGGGACTCCTGCCTTCCCAAGCACCCTAAGAGCGTAAAGGCGCTTTCTCGCTTTCTTCACAATGTAGTCAATATGGCTGTTCCAGGAGAGATCTGAAGAAATATAGACACCGAGTTACTTGTAACTACATACCTGACTGATACTAGTACTCCCAAGAACTAAGCCTTGAGGAGAGGCAGGCAGATAATGACTAAAGTTTACTTGCAGCTCTTCACATTTCTTGGAGTTTAAGCGCATTCACCGTGCTGAAGCAAAATCCCTAATCTCGTTAACGATAAACTGCAAATAAATGGGGAGTATCTAGGATTTATTTCAAAAACTGTGGTGTCATCAACATACTTGCTTTCCATTTTTTCGTGCGCCCGCAGATAACAGTTTTCTCAGCGATGGCATCGCGAGATGGGGACAGACTTTTAGTTCTAACACAAACAGCCAAGGTTTAAATTCGTCAGGGTTGTCGAATTTGTAGTAAATAATGGTCTTGAGCGGTTATCATCGTGGTGTCTAGAGAATCAGCTGGTGTTCAATAACACAAAGACGCAAGCAGTACCTATTGGTCCCTGTAAGTACAATTACGACCCGGCCATACATAGCTCTGTCATTGAGACACTGCTATCTATCAAAATACTTGGCGTTGAACTTGATAGCATGCTATCTTTCAAGGATCACACTGTTAAACAGCTTAAAAAGGTATACGCTAAAAATGGCGCACTCAGGAGAATAAGGCGTTTTGTCCCTGGCAATGTTATGTTGAGGCTCTCTAAAACTTTCTTTCTCCCTCATTTTGAATACTGTTGTCCCCCTCTTTCTTAAAGTGGGGAAAGTGCAAGTGAATCGGCTAGAAGATGCCAACTATTATATTCTTAGATCACTGCTAGGTTATTGGAGATCTACCCTTTATGATGAATTGTTGCGAATCTTGACTATGGAAACGTTAGACCAGAGAAGGAAACAACAATCCCTTACTCTGTTATATAAATGTTTGCATAACGACGGTCCCAAGTATATCAGAGATTTTTTAGTTTTACCGCGGAAACTATGTACAATCTGAGAGGAACCGGCATTAATTTGTCCGCACCTAAATTTGATTAAAATTTTATGAAAAAATCTTTCACTTATATGTGTGCGCAGCTGTGGAATGGATTACCTACAAGTGTGCAACTGGCCAATAATATCAACCTTTTCAAGAAGCTATTGAGAACACTGAAACTTTAGCTGCTTCTCCATTTTATGCTTGTATTTAAATGACTCTGAATTTCATTGTACAAACTTAATTTTTAATGTTAATTTTAAGTTATTTAAGTGATTYCTTCACCATTTTATAACTGTATTTAAGTGACTCTAAATTTTATTGTACAAACTTAAATTTTAATGTTAATTTTAAGTTATTTCAATTTCTAATCTATTAGGTCTTGACAGTATGTATTAGGTTTTTTTAGATTCTTAATCTTAGAGGCACGTACGTATTTTCAACGAGCTCTAGAACTCCTTGACGCTACGTGGGTAAATAAAGTATTGATTGATCGATTGACTGATTGATTGATTAATTGACTGATTGATTAATTGACTGATTGATTGATTGATTGATTGATTGACTGATTGAGAACCGATTTTGAAGGGCACTTAACATGACATATTGGCCACAACGAACTTGGTGTAAGGTTTCAGCAGACTTCGTTATTTTAAAACAAAGCAAACAGAAAACTTACCCGAACATTTTAGCGAGATGGCAATCAAGTGATAATCAAAAGCACTTAAACTATCTTTTGGGTAAAGTTATTGATTCAGCGACGGCGTATATCTAATTTCGTCACCAACTTTTCTTCATCGCCGAGGAAAGTGTCTTGTAAAGTTCAATGTAAGGAGTATGTTGGCGAGAAAATCAGTAATTATTGCAGCAGGAGTCGAAAATGTGAAGCTTGTTTTTGGCCTTATCTTTTTTATAGCCAGTAAATCTGCAGGACAGGGTAAGTAATATGAAAAATCTTTATATCTTCGAAAAATTCGCCATAACGATACAGAAATTGTTCAAATACTGATGGCTGATAAATTGCTTGAACTTTAACAGAGAAAAGTAATTAGGGAATGAGTTAACTCCATTCTGTGTCGCTTTTTATTCGACAATTTTGGTGAGGATGAGCTATCCTCAATGACACTTCTGTTCATTGCGCGGAAACTGTCATGATTACATGAAACTTAGAATCACCTCGCAAATTTTGGACAATTCCAGCTAAAAAAGCTTTTTCTAATATGGCTGCTCGTGCTATCGTCTAATCAAAGCGACAAACTGATTTGCTTTTAACTGAATAAAAAGGGGCATCAGTTTTTATTTAAAACACAATTTTCTTTCTTTAGTGGATTCCAGGATTGATATGTTAAGTTAATGTTGCAACGTAGACGGACGAGAAGGGACGAAAGAAGGAAGGAAAAAGGAAAGACCGCTAAATTCTCCTAAAGTATCTACAAAAGGAACTAGTTTAATTCATTACGAGTGTCCCGTCGAATTACCACTTTGTTCTGAGCTTTGTTAAAAACCCACCACGACTTACTGGCTTGAGTGGTTGTTTATATTAGAGCCCAGTCTTTTAGGAGACTCCAGCTTACTTCTCCTGTATCTGACGAAGGGCTTACGCTCGAAACGTCAGCTTTTTAACTCTTTACGGTGGCCAATTTACAATTTCAACTTAGTTCATAAACCCAAATTACTTCTTTATTAGTTTTGGTAGGAAGGTCGTTGTCGATACATTCTATGTTGTCATTGTTTCATTTTGTTAAAATAAAAAATTCCAGGAGGATGAAAAACCTCGAGTTTTTGTATTCTGATTCTTTAGACACTTTCAATTTTCGCGTCAACAGAGTATACATCGAGCAGCAACCAAGTGTCAAATGAAACAGCCGACAGTTGTGACTCGTGTGACGACGATTTCTATTCACCTGGCGACTTTGACACTCTCAGGCAAACATTGTCACCGTTGATCTACGTAGTGATTGGTGGAGCCAGTGTCCTGGGGGTCATCTTGCTGACCTACGCATGCTACACGTACTATAACCGCAACTCTCGTGAGCAGCATGTTCGCTTCCTGGCTACCGTACCTTTGCCGCCCCAGTTCCCTATCGGCGCGGCTCACATTTACAGAGATGACCTCCGGGTGACTTTGGTGAATGACAACCAAATGGCGTAATGTGTATTATCTTCAGAAAGGACAAGAAAAACCGTAGAAGCCATTTCATTGCTCACAAGAGAACATCTTGATTTATTATCAAAGTTGTGAACGTTGGACTTAAAATAAAAGGAACTGTAGTTTACAAAAATTCAGGAAAAAACTATAAAATTTAGGCTTCCAAGGATGTTGAACCCATTCTTCCACGCCAAATAAGTACCTAAGAGGCATGGGTCTGAATCTCAGCATGGCCTGACATTTTTAGTCCCTGCTTTTATTTCAATTGTTACAACTGCAGTTCAAATCATTGTTTCTTCATCTACAAGTCAAAATGTGACTGTATCGTATACTGAACTAGACTGGTAACACCTTACAAACTATTTACCATTAATGGCCATTGAAATGTAAACAGCTGCTCGCCTATCAAATACTACTGTTAAACATAAGCTATGGCCTCAAATCATATTTAATGCACGTGACGACATAAGGGACAATCGAAGAAAATATGAAACAAATTCAGCATGCAACCTGGTATATATTGAACAATTGTGTTCAGTGAAAAATTTCCTGTATCAAAAATAGTTGCACGGGGCTGATTCTAACACCTTCAGCTAATGGAAAAAGTACTATCATGAAAACTAAAATTCAGGGGAGGAGAATTTTCTCTAAAAATAACATCAAACATAATTTAAAGAACTCTACCATCTCGCTCTAATATTTCTGTAAATACAACTCCATAATTGCAAAAAAAATCGACTACATTGAATTGCGTTGATCGAAATCCTAATTTATGGAATGAATATCATGCGGTAGTTTTAGTTTGTAAATCGGTGATTTCAATTACGGAAACACTTTTTTTCTTTTCAAACGCACAACAAATTAGTAAGGAAGTAAACGTAAAATCGTCCTCTAAAACTTCAGTTGCAGCACAGCTCTATTTGATCAATCGTTGCACGGAATTTTTAGGTAAAGAATTATTGACAATGTTATTACTTGTTAGTCTGAGGTAACAGCAGTTTAAAATATTAAGTAGTTTTAAAAAACTACCGAAAGTCCTTTATTGGACTTACAGAAATAAATTTTTGCGACTTAGTTAGCGGGACATTTTTTTCCTGTGGAAAAGTGTAACGTGTAAAACGTGGTCTCCCCTGCAAGAACTCCCTGAAATGGCCAAGATATGCGTTCATTGTTTTAGAATGGACATCACTAGCATGGTTTCCAAATTGGCCCACGCACTAAATCACAATCGTATATTAAGTTTTAGTCGCTAAGATACGACAGATTTGATGATGATAATGTTCAAGAGTAAAAAAGAGAAAAAGAACTGAACGATTTCTTTCACTCTCTGCTAGTGCATTAAGCAAAAGAGCCCAGTTAGAAGAAAACCTGATCAAGAATTAGTCTAGTTTAAAAAAGGAAAAATCAAAATGTAACCCCTTACCGTGTTCCCACCCCTCCCTTCCCCCCTCCCCCCCTGGGTCTTTTTTAACTGCTAAACAAACTCAAACACAATTTTAGTTTTTTTCTAAAACAGCGGTCGCGCTTTCAAAGCGTGTGCAATGAAGAGGACAGCATCTAAGCCTCGTTGACAAACGGTTGCATGGGGACAGTAGTTTTAGTACTGGTTGCCATGACAGGAGGACCCAAACCAACAGTAGGCTGGACAAACACAGTTCCTTGGTTGGGCGGACTAGATTTGCAACAGCCGCAGCAGCCACAGCAGCAACAACAGCAAGAGATGAAGATGATGAGGAGGAGAATGGAGCCTCCGACCACAGCTCCTCTCTCGATATCGTTCATATCGTACCACAAGGCGAGGATACCTGAACCAGAGAAAGATAATACAAGCTCAATCATGTTCAAACACAGGAAACGGAAAATGGGAAAGCGACGTAAGAATCTTCCACTTCTTGCACCCTGCTCTACCACCACCTTAAACTCACGTCTCCCTCCCTTCCCTTCTTCCCCCCCCCCTTAAAACAGCCACTGCAGACTAATGATGACGATTTCCTGCATTTCCTTTTTTATCTTCCCCTTTCGAAAATTAAATCACTTGTCTCCTTCTGAGGGTTCCCACTACTTATTCTACTGGGCTCCTCCATTAGTGACGACAGACCATCCGCCATTCTCCTCGGCTCCCATTCCCACCCGCCTTCCTCCATTTAAAATCAATAAGCCACTAACGGGATGCCCAAAAGTCAGGCCAGGTCATTGAAATCTTTAATTGAAAAAAATTCTTGTGCAAAAACATTAATTTTAAACAAGAAATTTTCTCATCGAACGGTGAAAGAAATCCGTATGTTAGGAATACTTTTCGCGTGCAGTTCACATGCATCACTTACCGCAAGCGTTAGTGTTAATGGGCAGGTTGCCGTCCATCACTGATAGTTTCACAGGATAAAATCCGTCTTGCCAAACTTTGCTTCCAGCGAGGAGCTTCACCTGAAAATGGAAAAAAAACAGTTAGATTTTCGCATTTTCTTGAACAAAATGAAAACCCCACGAAGCTGCGGTCAGATTGGTCCTCTTTAAATACATGAAAAACGACTTGTACAAGGACTGGTTGATGTCAATATGATTGTAGCTCAATATGCATTTTCTCGTTACATTTGTTTAGGCGCTGACAAGGAGAATTTGTGTAACATTCGGTAGCTTCTTTAGTTGGTAATCATTTCCTTTATTTTCTCATGACCAATATGTGTCATTCAGGGGTGATTTGTAAGGAGAAATTAGACACCAGTCACTTATAGGGATCAAACAGTTAAGATGAACCTTGCTCTGCTTGAGCTGAAAATAAATTGTCTCTTTGTTGGTTGAATAAGAATTCGCCAATCGACCACTGACCGTAATTTTCAGTTCATCGCCGTTTGGAGTGAGAGATACTTGAACGTATACACCAGCGGAGATTGGGAGACCTGGTACCGACGCGGTGAATCCTGGGACTTCTACCATGTCGTCACTGGTGTAAGTATGAGACCAGGAGATATACAGATCAGGTACTTCCATCGAGGCTGTTACACTGACTGGGTCATCGCACTTATTGACCTAACGTGCAGTAAAATAAGTTAACTTGGCGCTTTTTCGCAAATTTTTTAGGTCAAAATGGGAAAGTAGGGGGTGTACTAAAAAAGTTGTCAGTTACTAACCCTGACGGTTTACAAAGACGCCTGTTACATTTGAACTTCATAATGGTGTAGTGCACTGACGAGTTCTCTGTTGCTTAAACAAGAGTATTGAACAGCAAATTTGTTGTCTCGAATTCTATTTCTCACCGGGAACTCAGCTTTTCTTCTTTCATTTTTATTTATCCCACTATCGTTCTGATAATTTATATTTGTCTCTATCTGTTTTACATGATGTGTGCTGTTTACACTTTTATTACAACGTAGTAATATTTCTGTTAATGCTCGGAGTCTGGCTCACAGCAGTTCCCTCCGGAATACTCCTGCGAGAGGGACTGGGGATGAACACAGGATGTGCATTGCTTAACTCAACAACTTAAAAAAAAAAAAAATCTGATGAAAAGAAAAGGAAGGATTTTCAAACTTACCTTTAACTTCAGTGTGATCGGTTTATTGACGAAATTCGTTTGGCATGTGATTGTGCTGCAATCGTCACTCATGCTGCAACCATCGCCCAATGTTGTGCTGCCACAAGAACCATCGTCATCGTCGTAAATGGTTTGGTCTCCCCAATCACTGTCGCTGTTCTGATCTGAGAAGTCAGCTAAGAAAAATTATTTCTATTGAGTAAAACTCTTATTCTGACACTGTATAAGACTATAGATTTTACCAGTTGTCTCAAAAAATACATCCATCTCATTTCTAACTCGTCCTGTAAGCCAACCGATCAATCGTCTTTTTTTTATTCCCCCACTTTTTCAATTTGCTAACAGGACTCACTTCATTCTGACTTTTTTAAATCACAAAAACTTACAAACAAAAAGGATAAACAATATATCATTTACAAAATAGTATGCTACTTTCTAAAATTACCATAAATATCTTTTGGAATGGAAAGACTAAATTTTTTCTATCAAATCCGATTTTTTTCTTTTTTTTTTTGAAGAAAAATATTAAGGTTGACATAGGGATTTTATAACTGCAGCTCCTACGATTTCTTCTTTTTTTTTTAACATCACAAATGGAGAAAAACAAAAAAGAATTAAAAATTCATGACACAACTGATTTTTTTAATGACCGCTGATCTTTTAACAATGCATTCAAGGTAGATAACATCAGTTCATTCATTTTTTAACGAACGATTAGTGAGTTGCAATTGATAAAAAAAAAAAGACGTTTGGCCTACGCACTAACAATAACACACTAATGGTGAGTGCTGCAAACAAACTGGCACGACTGATATGCAAAATTTAGAATAGTGACATGTTTTGATGTGATAACGATGAAATGAAAGAGCCTAGAGCTGAGTGGTTGTCACACTATCCGGCCGAACACTTCGTCAAAACAATCGGTTTACGAAGGCCAAGTTCGAGTTGTAATCACAAACAGAGGTTGTTCTAAGTCACAAGGAAACTGTGACAGTCGTACCAACTAACTTATGAAATAAATGATATCAGGTTTCGACTCCTAATATCGACAAAACATCGTTGATTTGTGGTCTTCAATAAATTCGCTGGATTGAGGTGTCGCTTAATAGTGCCTATTTTCCAATGAATGTCACAGTCATAGTTAAGTAAAACTACATAAGTTTGTTGATGTCTACCTTCTTCTCATCATTCCTATCACATTTTATTTTAGATAACATTTGTAAGGTTTATTGAGCAGGTACATAAAAATTTAACTACAACGAATTGCGATAAAATCGAAAAGTTTAAAAAATTAAAAACCATCTTGGTTTAAGAAAAATGCGACGACGTTTCGACGTTCGCTTAACGTCATTCAAGTCAATAACGAGTTAAATGAGAACGAATATAAATGTAAAACAATTCGTAAGAGACACGGATAACATAATTGAAAATAATTAAATAACAAAGAATTCACACCCAGAGAATATGTGACACGCAGAGATTATGTGACTAGGCCTGTGAATTCTATATAATTTGGATATATCAACAAAGTTGAAACGGTAAATTGGCCACCGTAATGATTACAAAAGCTGACGTTTCGAGCGTTAGCCCTTCGTCGGAGCGCTCATTTAAACGTTTAAAAAAACACTTAACTTTTCAAAAGGAAAGTTTGGACGGTCATTTCTTAAGTTGAGGACGACAATTACAAGGAAAACATGCTGCATGATGTGTGCAGTCATACTGATATGAGGCGCCAATTCCAAGAATTCGAACCCTCTTGAAATTCCTAGAATTCGTTAGGACTTTGCGGAAATTTGTCAGTGATCCTCGCTTGAATTCTAAACAGATACAAATCTACCCTCTGCTTTGAAGTTTTCTACCTTTAATAGGATGAAAATTATGCGTTTTCATAGGTAGATGTTTCTAGCTCGATAAAGCAAAAATAGTCACTAGCCGACGTAACCACAAATGTTTCGCCCTTACCGAAGGACTTTGAACTAAGGCCAAGTTTTGTGTTGGAAATATATTTCGGGGTTCATTTGGTCTTATATCACATTAGGACTATGAAAAGCTATGAAATCAGCTCTATGCCTACCAAATTGCAAGGGTTTTACTTACAAAAAGGTTTAGCGTCGTTGTTTGCACGACATCTGCGGTCCTTATTCAAATACATAATAAGATCGATCTTGGCTTTTTCCACACTATTCGACTATAAGTAAGCTCGTGGTTACTAACACATTTTCATTTCACTTTTCCTCTAAAGTGGAGAATCAATTGCTTTTTAGAATCAATTGCTTTTTAGTAAAATGAGGAAGAAAAAATATTTTAGGGCTTCTACAGTTTTCTTTAACTTAAAGACCACTAAAAATCACTCAGCTTACACACAAAACATTAAGTAATTACCTGAAGTTGTGAAAATAAGCCGGCTGAAAAGAAGAATGAGGAAACCTTTGGTCAGAATGGTTCCAGACGCAATCATTTTGAACGAAGAGGAGACTTCGAAAGCTCAATGTTTTTGAATGGCGGGTCTTTTTTGGAACCCACGCTTCAGCTTAATGACAGATTAATTGACAGAAATTCTGGTATGTTCCAGTTTGACCGGCTTTTCATTGTTCATAGAAGCGAGGTTGTTTCTCGGAATTTGGGAACACAAGAGCGCAAGACAGAAGGCATTGTGTGGGTACTGGCCATAATCCGCCCACTAATGAAGCTCACCGGATGATAAGAGGAAAGCGCTACGGGATGCAAATCACACACAGAAAATAAAGACACTGGGTAATCAATGCTTCAAACAAATCTAGATCTATTCACCTTAGCTCCATCAAAAAAATTCCAGATGTAAAATTATTCCTTCCTATTATTTCCATTATTTAGGATTCCCAAGTTTCACCACATCTCGTCCGCCTTACATAATCTTCACTGGCTTCCTGTGGCTTATCGCGTCCATTTTAAGTTGTTACTTTTAATTTATAAAGCTTTAAATAACCAAGGCCCACTATACATAAAAGAATATCTGCAGCCACACAGTGTCAAGGGTCATCAGCTACGTTCCTGCGATCAGGGTCTCCTTATGGTCCCAAGAACTAACTTTAAGACCTTTGGTGATCGTGCCTTTGCCCGTTCTGGACCTTTTCTGTGGAACGAACTGCCGCTTGAAATTCGAAACAGTCCAAATGTAACGATTTTTAAGTCAAAGCTTAAGACACATCTATTCAAGCTGGCTTACAGTTTGTTTTGATATTTTGTCGTTTATCATTTTAATATTTGTAGTTAATATGTTGTAAAGCGCTTTAGAATATTTTATAATTTTAGCGCTCTAGAAATGTAAATTATTATTATTATTATTAATTACAGTGTCATAATCGAAACGGTGATACAAAATTTTACCTCTGGTCATGATAATAATACTAAGGACTTTGAACAAACCACGACGGCGACGGTAACGAGAACGTGGAAAACAAAAGATCTAATTGGCAGAACAATAGCCCAGTACGTGCGTTTTAAAACTTTGTATATTTCTAAGCCGTCCGAACAACAAAGTGAAATCACCCAAATTTGCGTCGTCTGCAAACCGAAACCTACCCTAGTCCCAGAGGTTCTCTTCTCTCTACCGGAGTACGAGAATTCGGCGCGAAGCGCCGACCAACGAGCTGTAATGGTCGGCGCTTCGCGCCGAATTCTCGTACTCCGGTAGAGAGAAGAGAGCCTCTGGGACCAGGGTAACCGAAACCGCGGCGGCAAATTATTTTAATTTACATTTGGAACTCAACGCTACTTTTATGCGTTATGTTGAGTTTGAGGTCTGGTGCCCTACGAGACGGTAAACACATGCAGCCATTTCCGAATTTCTAACTAAAAGTAGAAACCCATTTTCTAATAGACGTCTTCCGTGGCGTTGCCGTCCTGACTATGGCAGCAACCGCATTCTCAAGGGACCAGTCATTATTTGTGCCAGCGGATAACAGAGGGAGGAAGGGGGGTCAGGGGAAACCGCATGATTTTAAGAAGGGAGTGATTTTAAGAACAAAGTTTGAAGGGAGGACTCTAGATAATTACCTGCCAATGAGGGGGATCGATGGAATACTACAAACCCTTGTCGACCTATTGGGGAATCAGGTAAATTTAATTGTGGCGGCGGAGGAATTCGAGAACCCAGTTCCACCGCCGCCGCCATCCCCTCCCCACCCCCCTGGTGGCACATAAATGACGAGTTTCTAAAATGCCATTTTTGATATATAAAAATTCAAACTTAACTCCGAGTCATTTAGGCACAGGGATAGTAAGTGATATTATGATATGGCTGTCTCACAAGGACTAGTAAACTACCGAATTCACGAATTTGATTGGCTGAAATCAATATTGGAAGCGGTCTAGATTTTCCCATCTAGACCGGCATCTAGACCGGTCTAGAAAAAAAAGGTACAAAGAATATAAAAAATTGGCTTAT